AGTATTGTTAACTATAGGCATTATGCTGTTTACATCTCTAGAATTTATTTATCTTGCATGACTGAAGCTTTGTACTCTTTGACCATCATCTCCTCATTTCTCCTCCCCCTCAACCCATGGCAACTACCATTTTACTCTCTGCTTCCATGAGTCTCACCATTTTAGATTCCACATATAAATGAGATCATACAGTATTTATCTTTCTGTGTTTAACTTTTTTCACTTACCATAATGTCCTCTAGATCCATCCATGTCATAAGTGCATTTCTTTCTCTTTTTAAAGGCTGAATTATATGTCTTATAATTCAAAACATTTTCTTTATCCATTTACCTATCGGTGGACATTCAGGTTGCTTTCATATCTATTGTGAATAATGCCCCAGTGAACGTGGGATGCAGATATCTCTTTGAGGATGAGATCCTGATCTTCATCCTCTCCTGTACCTCTTTTAGGCATCTGAGCATCTCTGAAAGTGTCTGATCAACAGAGAGAAGACAATGACAGTGTAAAGAAACTTCTAAACCTTTATTGAACTCATAATTTCTAATGGCATCATAGGAATAGAGCATATGAAATCTCAGGTTTTGCTTAAAGTCCTGCATTTTCCCAAGACTTCAAAGGCTTAGCATCTCTTTTAATATTATAAAGTACTTTCCAGTATCCTCCTAATTTAATGCTCTCTGTCAATAAATGATCCTGCACTAGGTAATCATCAGTGCAGAAGTGTGTGGGAACTGGGGTAAGATGATTGGGGTTGTGCAAGATGATTTTTATTAATTTCTTTCACTGGTTCTGTCTCCATCTTTTTGCCTCTTTGGGAGCTTTTGAAATCTTGAAATATGGTACTACCAGTGTATACAAAGAAAGTTCCAGGTACATCTAAACTCTAACATTTTGGCATCATAAATCGAAACAACAAATAAGGTAACAGCAAAGAATGTGTCTCTTCCTATCTCAATGCTAATCTGCTCGACGTAATGCCTCCAGATGTTAAATAACTGTTATATTGCAATGATGTATGGGAATTATATAATAGTCATATTGCTTTGCATGCTGAGAAGAGAGGATTTCAGTACTTAGCTGAAATAGTTTTAACTTCATTTATAACCTCTCCAACTTCTTTTACCGAGGTACCCAAGTCTGTTTGAAAATTCCCCTTTCTAAAGCTAAAGTAAAATAGCATGCTCAGCTCCTAAGGATTATATAACTTTAATTTGACCCTGCATTTCCCATTGGCTGCTATTATATTTCTCTCCTTTCTTTTATAGCCACACATCTCAAAGAAAGATCGATCCGCCATCTCTGATGTTGTTTCCCGCCCTCCCCCAGTTGTTCTTCACTTCCTGTTCTCCAGCTTTCACAAATACTAGTCTACTGAAACAAATATTTTCAAAGTATATAGTTACATTCCTGACCAAAGCCCCACTGATTTTGTGGTTTTATTTTCTTTCTTAGTCCTTGGAGAAAAGATCATTAGCTTTGATGAGAAGGTCATTGGGTATCTTCTTTGGCAGGGGGGATGCAGATGCAGATAAGATGGAAGGTTTTCAAGATCTGGGAGGAATGGATGTACACTGTTTGTCTAGAGAGTGTACCATATCTGATTTTTATATTTAATATTTACCACTACTTATTCCAAAAAGAGTTTAAGAGAGAGAGAGCCAGTTACTATCAACCAGAATGATTCTATGTGACTATTAAATAATTTATGCCATAAGAATCTCTGTACTGGAAATGGAACAGAACTTTTCTAACAGCTTAGTGAAATTCTTATTGCTCAAGTTCTGTCACTTAAAGGTCAGTTTCCAGCCAAGAAACCTCCAATTATTCAATCTGTCAGCCCCGGGGCTACCTGCTAGTGTCAGTCCACTGTGACAAGTCAGAGTTACTTAAGAGAGAGAGAGGCAGATTCTTGACCTACATAACTAATGCGTCACAAAGCACTGCAAATACTGGAGTTTTCCTGGTGGAAGGTCCCTGGTATCTGCATGAGTGCTGACGATTTTTTTTTTCTTTCCGATTACACTCTTCTGTTTTCTGACACTAAGTGGTCTGTACATTTTAGGGAAGTCACAACTCCTTATCCGCTCAGCATTGGAACTTTTGGGTTTGTTTGGGATTAAGTATGCATCTAGCCCCCATGACTGCATCTGTTTAAAATGCTTGTTTTCCTCTGTCAGAATCGTAGCATTTAGAGATGAAAGGCTTGTCCGCACTTTCTAATCTGAGACTGGATGCTAACCTCCTTTCCTCCCCCAGACCATCAAGCCTTCGGACATTGCCACTGTCCGCACGCTGGGCCGGCCCCCTCACCTCATCATGAGGATCATGGATTGTGTGCTGCTGCTGTTTCAAAGGAAAGTCAATGCAGTGAAAATTGACCCGGAAAAAAGCTGTACAATTCCTTCCTGGCAGGAATCTTTAAAACTGATGACTGCAGGGAACTTTTTACAGAACCTACAGGTTGGTCGTTCAAATTTTTATCACTTTGTAGAATTTCTTCATATATAAAATATGAGTAATTTATCATTTATATGTTTGCAACTATCTTCTTCCACTTCCTACCTTAGTTGCTCATTCCATTAATAGTGTATTTTGATAAGCAGATGTTCTTAACTTTACTAGTAATGTAGTCCAATTTTTCAATATTTTCCTTAAGTGCTCTCTGCGCTCTATTTAGGAAATCTTTGCCCACCTCTAAGGCAGAATAAATGCTTCTGAGTTTTTTTTTCTAGAAGTTTTATCTGTAATATTTAGATCTTGAGACAATTAATTGGGAATACTCAACCCACATCCACCTCCCAAGTGATAACTTTAGCACTATCTTTCATTCAGTTTTTAATTCAGCATTGCCAGTGGCTACTGTGGCTACATTATCTTACAGCAGCTATAACAATAAGTAGCTTATGAAACTAGTGGGCCACACAGACATATCCCAGACAA